GTAAGTTCACCCCCCTCACATTTATTCAAAGGACCCTTGAGAGTGACTAGGATCATTTAGGCAATGACCACAACTGATAGTATTACTGACCACAGGGTTTGACTTTATACGTGGGTATCAAGTCAAGGGGGCAAAGTTGAATCGGCAACAACCGACCTGTTATCGAGAGATAATTTTTTTTTTGGTTGTTTTATAGAACCTCTCCGTCAATTGCAGTAGACCAAAATAAGATTTTACACACACAGAGGTCAACAAAGATTCAAAACCCCCACTCGATTTCCCACATATTGATATCTACGGGTCAAGCCCTTAGATCTGAACTTTGAGGTCTGGGATCGACATCCCAAAGTTGTATCCTTAGCTTCTACCTTCCCTAAGCCGTCTGTCTCCTTCTCCTTTCGTTTAAGGAGTTTCATGCCTGTGTCCTAAGTTGTCTTAGGGAAACTCATATTTCCCCAACTCTCAGCTCTTGCGTTTTCTCTTTTGGGGATAAGAACACCCCTTGGTGCTTATGTAGTAGAGTTTTACCTCATCCGTTGTTGTGGTCTTTCACTCGAAAGCTATGAACGGACATAGACCTCGCGGTAGTTCTTATTCTACTAGTATTATTTTTCCCGCGGTCCTAACTTTTTTTCTTTGTTCCTTTTCCAGGTTCTATTTTTCTTGATATACCCAAGTAGTAGATTCAGACATGAATCTCTTGCTACTTGGTCAATACCAAACAATCTAGTATTAATCAAACAGACAGTTTAGTAAATCACTCATGATTACTTGACTCTCTTTCCAGTCTCACTTAATGCATACACAAGATCTGTTATGAGTAGCTGGATAGCTCACACAAGAATATCCTCATGAAACAAATAGATGAGGCTCCTACCGGGGCGCCCTACTACTTGCTTAAGGTATCATTCGGAAAGACTTAGATTTCAACCCCCTTCAAAAGGTTAATAACGGTCTGAGTGAATAATAGGCGACCCGCACAAAAGCCCCCTACTATCACATGATCAAGTGCACGGTCCACTTCATGAGTGCATTAGAATAATTCTAACAAGGGTATCATATTGTCCCCCCCGAGGCTGACCGATCTGAAACCCGGTTAGTTTGGACAAAAACCGAGTGTTTAGGGTATTCCTATAGGAGCACCCCGCCTCGTGTGTTAGTACAAAATCAAGCAAGTAATAGGCAGACCCTAACAAGGATTCCCCTACTACTTCCTTGGGTAATGGGTAATCCATCTCTTAAACAAATAATAGGATGACTCCTACAAAAGTCTTCCTACTACCCGTTTGGTGATCGGACTGTCTGGGAACAATTGAGAGAGAATGACAATGTGATTTCCTATTTCTAACAAATCGTTAGCCAGTCTTAGACTCGAGTGTGTGAATAGGATGACCCTCACAGGAGTCTCCTAGGACACCTTGAATAAATGCAAAGACTGAACCTTTATGAGTTGTTAATAAGAAGGGAAGTTAGTACAAAAATCCCCCCCATCTTTCACATCAACCAGATCCCTAGTTAATCAAGGTGGTGAGGTAACACACACAGGAGTACCGCCACCTTCTGATCTTGTCAATCGTCTCAGCCTCACAAGGCAAGTGTCAAACCGACACATGGGTTTTCTACCGTCTTTGGAGATTTATCCAATGGGTTAACCGGGTGACCCGCACAAGCGCCTCCCACTATCTTTCCTAAATGTTAGACGAATTTTCCTTCATGACGACAGTCGATTAGACAGATAGTAGGGTAACTTACACATGAGTACCCCAATCACTCATTGTGAGGAAGGGGGTTGTGATTGTGGGGAAGGTTGTATAAACTACTGTCTTGGGACCAAGTCCCAGTAGCGATGTGAATTGGGTTAAACCACCTGTACTCCCTAGAGTCGTGCCCGTTAACGCGCAACGATTTTAGGAAACGTATGGGCTACTACATGAGCGCCCAAATTCATCCTACTAAAAACGTTTCTACTCTATTTCTTTCCGCAGCCGATAGCTGGGCAAGTACGGGTGGCTTAAGTGCCCGTATCTGGAGGTGTTTTCCACGGAGATACAGAATAGTAAATCAATCCCAATTCTTCAAGTCTCCCCGAACACGTCCAGATTCATCCGTCTAATCCTAGTGGGACTTGTACCATCCATCTAATCCTAGTGGGACTTGACCCCTAGTAATCACTTAGGCTGCCTCTTACTTTTTTGGTGGTCGTCTATTTATTTATTTTTTTGGTGGCGGGGGTCTTCTGTAATTATTTTACTAATTACAAAAAAAGATGGGGAGGGTATGACGGAGTTGTTTCCCGGGGGGGGGGGAAGGGGAGGAGACAGAAAAACAAAAGTGGTGTGCTTCTTGCAGGGTGCTTGCATTGCTAATAAAAAGGGGGAGAGAGGGCATCAATGTGTGCTCGGTAGTCGCGAAGGCCACAGTGCTAGATGACCCGAGAGGAAAAGATGCCAAATACATTGCATAAAAGATTGTTATGGGCATAGATCGAATGTGGCAGACAAATTTATATATTCTACATCTCTTCTGGATAAAAGTTCAATAGCGACAAGTCTCCGATGCAAAAGTGATGACAATTAGTCAGCCGATACATTCAACACATACAAGTTTCACACTGTAGAGAGCGAACAAAGTCATATGTAATGGCAGGTAACAGCGACATTGTTGAAAGCTTGTGCCAAGGACGGGGAGGAAGATTCCACGTGCTCGCAATGTGCGGATGAATGACGAGCTCATACCAGGGCCCGAGTCCCACTAGGATTAGATGGATGGTACGAGTCCCACAAGGATTAGACGGATGAATCTGGACGTGTTCGGGGAGACTTGAAGAATTGGGATTGATTTACTATTCTTCATCTCCGCGGAAAACACCTCTAGATACGGGCACTTAAACCACCCGTACTTGCCCAACTATCGGCCGCGGAAAAAAATTGAGTAGAAAAATTTCTAGTCGGATGAATTTGGGCGCTCTTGTAGTAGCCCATACGTTTCCAAAAAATCATTGCGCGTTAACCGGCACGACTCTAGGAAGTACTGGTGGTTTAACCCAATCCACATCGCTACTGGGACTTGGCCCCAGGACAGTAGTTTATACAACCTTCCCCACAATCACAACCCCCCTCCTCACAATGAGTGATCAAATCAAAATTTCCAGTCCATGACAGTCATGACTACAATTCACCCAAATGCAATGCCCGATTGTTAGTGTGCACCCTGCTCGGGGAATGACAGTAAGTAGGAATACTGCACATTGCAAGGACTGCAGTCCAGATGGAGTCCAAATGCAGCGATAACCACCGCGCGTTCTAGTCTTCGGTGAAGACGGTAGATGGCCATAAAATAGGAATACTGGAGTCCTTCGGGACATCCGTTAAAATTGGAACGATACAGAGAAGATTAGCATGGCCCCTTCGCAAGGATGACACGCATAAATCGAGAAATGGTCCAAATTAAAAAAAAAAAAAAAAAAAAAAAAGGAATACTGGACATTGCAAGGACTGTGTAGGTTTAGGTAGTGTTTGATTGACATCTGATTTTTTTGTTAGGACACCGTGCCGCCGTGCCAAGTAGTTTTGTTCATCTGATACCATCTGTACTTGTTCCATGCCAAGCACCAGATACGGCAGTATCGGTTTGACAAGACTATTACTATACGTAACCAAGTTAAAAGAACCCCATAGAGTACTCACTCTCTTTGTCTCTATGGCTCCTTTATGATGTCATCCCGAAGGAGCTCATAATGAACGTGGTCCACCTCTACCAACGAATTCGGACATTGACAAAAAAAAAAAAGAGAAAGTACCTGGTCAACGCCGAAGTAATCAAGTTAACAGAACCCGATAGAGTACTCGCTCTCTTTGTCATTGTGGCTCCTTTACGATGCCGTCCGAAAGGAGCTCATAATGTACCTGATCGACTTCTACTCACAAATTCAGACATTGAAAAAAAAAAGAAAGTACCAGGTCAACTCCGGGGGTCCACCGGGCATTGCGATCACTGTGTAGTTTGATTGAAATCTGACATTTTGGTTAGGACACCATGCCGAGTAGTTTGTTCAGCTGATACCATCCGTACTTGGTCCATGCCGACTACCAGATACGGCGGTATAAGCTTGACAAGACAATTCTTATTACGTAACCAAGTTGAAACAACCCGATAAAGTACTTGCTCTCTTTTTCTCTGTGGCTCCTTTATGCTTTCATCCCGAAGGAGCTCATAATGTACCCAGTCCACATCTACCCACAAAGGAGTAAAGAAGTGCATGGTACACCGCTGCGGGGGAAGTCGGCGAAAGTCGAGGGTGTTGGCGGTGGCTATCCATCCCCTTGACAAGAATGTGGCTGCAGGCGAAATTCAGTGCACTCATGTGTTCTTGAGTTTTTTTTTTTTGTTTGTTTGTTTGTTTGTTTTTTAAGCTGCCTTCTCCTGGAACATATCTTTCTTGCCTTTCACTACCTACCTACCACTACTACTCTCAGGCTATACAGGGGACCCTGCAAGCATAGCTTTCTACCACTTCGGTCAAGGGAGTTTACCTCTCGCGGTGGAGAGATGTAATGACATGTTTGCCCCTTTGCCCTAGTGTTTAGGGTGCAGGGTCGGTGCCGCCGAGCATGCCGGCAACTGTGCCTCCCTTTTCATCTTCCCCCACCCCCATCGAGTAACAGTACTGTCTAAAGCCAACACTCTCCCACACACCACACGCCACCCACTCACGAGCGCACACTCACAAGCGCACTCACACCCGTTTACCCGTGTTTGCTGACGAGTTTACTAACACAGACTGGGAGGATCCAGCTGACTATCTCAGTTGGTTGCCACCAGCAGTCCCTCAGGTGGCCATGCACATAGTTGTTCTCAAAGTAATATTCTGTTTGAAAAAAAGCAAGTGCTATTCTGTTGTTTGCAACTTTGCATACCTTTTTTTCCTTTTTTCTACCCTGTATACTTCGAAAAGAATCTGGCAAGCGAAAAAAGAGAAAAAGGCTGTCGGTTGCAAAAGTGTCCACGATTGCCATTGATTTGCCTGTGAGATGGATCAGCTGAGACGGCTATGGTCTGAAATGCAGGCAGCTGAAACTGACTGAACGGGCCAAATCCATGACCCACGTGCCAGACATGGACAAAGTTCATCAACCACATCATGCACCTGGACCAAGTTCATGAACCTAGTCACAAAACAGACCAAATTCAGTAGCTGGGTTGCAAAAGACAAAATGGATTACTCTGAACCTGGCCCTGAAAAGAGTCTGAAGGAGGTCATCAATTGCTTACGACTTCCGCAAAATTGCTAAAACTTTAAAAGTTAAAACTTAAAAGTTAAAACTTAAAAGTTAAAACTTAAAAGTTAAAACTGGAAATAGACATCGAACACGTCGAAGACACGAAAAGATTACGAAGAATGAATTCAGGACCATGAATCTAAGATAAAAAAAAAGGAAAAAAACTTTTAAAAAGCCCATCTAAAATGGCCACAAGTCACCCCACCAGCTTTTCCTTGCGTGCTTGTACCGAACTCGGCTGTATGTCTCACTCTGTGCACAACGCGAAACTACTTGTCGCTGGATCGAACCCTTCGTCATCGACGAGACCGAGCTATTCATCAGCGAACAGGAGCTGTTCCTCTCCAATCTATCCATCTTGGCTGAAACAAGTGCAACAGAGTCACCTTCTGCAGCAGCAGGCATGCATAAATCCAAAATTACATGACCGCTGCGCTTCAGCGGCCTTCGTACGACTCTCGGCAATCCCCATAATCTTGCTGCTACCTCACGCCTAGCTTCAAGCATATCCTCACACCCTTCTTCTCCTCCTCCTCCTCCTCCTCCTCTTCCTCCTCCTTCTCCTCCTCCTCTTTCTTCTTCGTCTTTTTCTTCTACTGCGCCGGTGGTGACATTATCGGCGTTTTCACAGACATTGCTGTGCCTCCCATCAAGGCAATCATCATTTGATTGTTGAGCATTGTCAGTCCGTGCGTTTAGATCTCGACTCCTATTGTCCCTTGTTCCTGATTTCCCAGTTGAGCGTAAGAGAAGGTCATCCCTCGCCATAAGGTCAACGAACTGCTCCGGTTCCGAAACCACTGCATCCTGTTGCATAGACGCAAAGGCGATCCCTCCTCGCTGTCCTGCATCATGAAGGTGGTTAGCTGCGGCAGCTTCGACTTCCTCGATGCCCTCCATGCTGTTGTCAATTGCCCCGTCCTCCTCCATGTCACCTACATGACACAACCCCGGTGCAAAACAGCAAAATATCATCATCGTCATTTCCCTCGAGTACCTTCAACATCGACGGTCATTGATTTTGATTGCTGGTCGCAAATGAACCACTAGGATTGAGGTCCTGCTGGGCGTGTGGCCGCGCTAGCAGCTAGCAGCCTAGCGCTTACCTGCGCTGTGGACCGGCTGGCGAGGCCCGGCTGCACTATGTAGACTGGGGCAGTGGCAGGGCTACCATAGCTGCCCCTGTTTTCTTTTTTTTTTTTTTTCTTTTTTTTTTTAAACACCCGTCTGGGTGCTAGGGGTGCTGATACGAGCAATCACCTCTAGCAAGTGCCCGCCTGGTCATCTTGTCCGGATGATGGTGGACTTTCCATCTGGCACATCAGGAGACGGCACGTGGGTGTAAGGCGTTTTTCTCTTTGATCTGACGGTGCGTTTTTTGGGTGCTTGAGATGGCTTCAATTGGTGACTTACAGGCGAATTATCGTGGATGCTTCGCCCTTGAGGCGAGGGGATTGGTCTGAGGCCGATGGTGGGGCAGCCGCGATGATCTGATGTCCGGAGGACATGATGCCAAGCATGTTGGATGTCATCTGGGAGATGGAGGAGGGGCCAACTCCTCAGCTTGATGAGTTCATTGATTGGCGACAAGCGGATACTCTGATGTGGCGCTGCTACGATACTTTCAAGGAGGGAAGAGATCTGTGCGACACTTCGAAGGCGACGTTGCTTGTGCAATCTGACGGGTGCGATCAGCCGCTCCGCACAGAAGAAGGACAACCATCACTTGAGGAGGGTTACATTCAAGGGAGGGCCTGAAGAACGGCAGCCTCTTCCCGCCTCTCCACAGATGGCGGCACCTTATGACTGGTGGGCAACACGTTGCCCGTCATCAACAACGACGGACACACCACGGAGAGCAACAACAATGACGTCAACAAAGACAGGATCAAGGACTACAACAACAATCACGTCAACGACAATCGTTACACCCCACCCAACAATAACAACAGGAGCAACGAAAATAACTACAACGCTTACAAGGACAACATCAGCAACAACGGCATCGACAGTGAGGGCAGTTGTAGAGCTGGCAGATCTGTGTCCACATGGCTCATGTGACACACGTCCTGCATCAATCGCCGTGGTCATGGCGGAGAGTGATCATTGGAAGAGAACCTCACGCTTGGGTTTGGCTGGGTGCTCCGTTCTCCCACCCTGTTGTGTTCCCTCGTTTTGGCCCGTCCTTTCCCTTCTCGCTGTGGCTAGGGATCGGTTAGGAGGTGATGGGATTTTGTCTGTCAACAGTGCATAGGATCGTTACGTTAGGAGGTGACGGGAATTTGTCTGTCAAGGGTAGGTAGGATCTTTAACCGTAATCGCTTAGGCTGCCGCCTGCACCACTTACACGAGGAAGCTAACTGGGGGGGGGGGGCTGCCGGGTGCTCTCCTGGCGAGACATTGGTTGATTAGGGTTTCTTGTGTTGAATCGGGGTTTGCTCTTCAGGCCACCTGATGGTGGCTCTGGAAATGCTCTCTGTGTGCCGATTAGGACGGGGTAGGAGGTCGTCCAGTTGATGTAGCTCAGTGGTTAGATAGTGCACCGGTTGGAAATGCCGATTGTGGTATACGAGGTTGTGGGTTCAAAACTCAATTGCAGCCTTGCACATGGACATCGGCAGCGCGTTAGAATGACGCACGGCTGGGCACACACACCCTTGGGCTGACACATGGTAAGCTATTACAAACACTGCCTGCGTATCACCCAAGGGTTGTCCATGGTGTTGTATGTCGGGTCTTGATTCTGCGTGGGTTGCTTGTCGCTATTGCTTGTGGTTGTCCTGTTGATCTCCCCAATCTGGCATATCACACACAGGTGTCGTTTGCAATTGTTGCTCAAATGGTAGATTCTTCAGGTCACACGTCCATAGATCATGGGTTCGAGTCTGGCTTGGGACTTTGGGGGGGTTCTTGTCCAGCGTGGCCTGTCATCTCTTCAACGAACATATAGTTCCCTGCACATAGTACTGCACATATCTGGCCTTCGGGCACATACATCTCGCTATACACTCTACACAGAGCACACATAGACTTAGGGCAGACACAAACATGGCTGGTGAATACATATACACATAGCCTATGGGCTCATACAAACATACATAACCTCTGTGCACACATATACACACAACTATGATACTGGGCTGGGGGGGTCTGTCAAGTATATGTCGGGGTCTACTCATTCATGGCTTAAGCTCTGGGGTGGGGTAGGGATATAAGTCCCTCTGGCTAGAGTCTGAGTTCCGCCTAGCCTTGGGTAAGTTAGGGGAAGGACGGTAGGATGTCTCCGTGGGCGCTGGCTTGCCTTGCTTAGGTACTTCTGCTGGGTAGACTCTCTGAATTGGGCCTGCAGAAGATTGCATGAGCCTGGCGTCCGATGTTCCCGTACGGCAAGGTTCATCCACTTCCGCTTTCAGTAGGGCTGGGGGGTTGCCCAGCCTGGGTGCTTGTCACTGCTGTCCGGTCCAAGTTGCCCTCGATACTGGTAGGCTGATGGTCCTGAGCGCTGGTCACACTGAGGTACTATAGTAGGGACAGGGGTTGCGCCGAGCGTATTAACGTGAGGATGGATAGGTTAGGTGGGCTATCGTGTCAGGACAACCATTGGCTCCCGCTGCCAGCAATCACCGCGGGTCTGGTCCGTCGCCTCTACAACACCCTGGGCTTAAAAAAAAAAAAAAAAAAAAAAAAAAAGGACGGTAGGAGGTCAACTGTGCCCTTTTTTGGGGAGTAATCAATGCCTCCCAATGCACAGGGAATTTGAGGGAAACACTTCGATGACATCACATTTGCGAACAACCCACACAGAAGACAATCAGTGTTTGCACTGCATACACATGTCTATACCGCCATTACAAAAACTTTCAAGATGTACAGGGACGCTAAACCCGATTTCCAGCAGGTGCCGCTCCCCAGTAAGAGATGGAGCCTTCAATGCCAGGACCTGCTTTAGGAGGATGCTCGTATCACCCCGTTGAGCAGCCCCCCCGGTGGATGAAGTTCACCATTAAAAAAAAACAGAAAAGAATCCCTAGGCTAGGCTGTTTTCCCGGGCGCCCGGGCACCCGGGCACCCAACTTCTGCCCGGGTACACGCCCGGGTAGCCCGGCCGGGCATGACCCCCGGGCAGGGTTCCGGGCAGCCCCAGCGCCAAAAAAAAAAAAAAAAAACCCTCAAAAAATTCCGGAAAAAAAAAATGTTGTGTAGGATTGAAATGCAAACCACTTTTGGCTGAGGGTCACATTATGATTCCTCACAGAATCGG